CCCGCTTCCCACAGGTGCCGGTGCCTCGCGCCGCTGCCCGCTGACCCCGCCTCTTTCAGGTACGTCCGGGACCTGAGCAGCGGCCAGGAGGGCTGGGTGCCGGCCGGCAGCCTGTCGGCCCTGCTGGGCACGTCCGGCTCGGCGCAGTGTCTGAGCAGCTCAGGTAAGGCCCTCGGTGCGGGCGCGGCCCTGGCCCGTCCCACGGGAGGTGCGGAGGGCCGCCGCCGCAGCGATCTCCCGGTGTCCCCGCAGAGTCGAGCCCGGGGTCGGCCGTGCTGAGCAACTCCTCGAGCTGCAGCGAGGGCTGCCCGGCGCCCTTCTCCGACCTCCAGGGCTAGCACCGCTCTGCGCTGCGCCCGGCGCTGACCCGCATGCAGTCCCTGGTCGTCTTTTGCGCGGGCTCGCGTAGTTTGGGGAGGGGACGGCGCTCCAAGATAGCCAAACCCAGGAGGACCCCCGTGCACCCGCCGGCCGCAGAGGACAGGCCTCAGCAGCCGGCCCCCGGGGCCGAAGCCAGCTCCCAGGACCAGGCCCCAGGGCCACTGCCAGGTGCAGTGGACGGGGAGGGGCCTGGGGACAGCCCCTCACCCGCGCGCGGCCGCCCTCCTCGGTGCGGGCGCCTCCGACGCCTGGTCTGGTGCTGGCTGTGGGAAGGTCCCGGTGGGAGCCGCCGCGGAACGCCGCCGGAGAGAGGGGCCTGGGGAACTCTTGTCTTTTATAAGTTTCTGATTTTTTAAAAACAGGGATTAATCCCGTGGCCATTTTTTGTGGTACTTTGGCCTCAAATCTTTACCAAGAATCACTGTGTTTACATGAAATGATAATTTGATACTGTATTTGATATAAAACTATTTTTTTGTTACTGGGGTTTACATCAAAGCTCGTTGTCTATATCACTAAATGATTTGGGCACCCCTTGAAGCACACCTGGTCACAGGTGAACCCACACACATGGATAAAATCAGGTGGTGTCTCACAACCAAAAGCAGTAAGAAACCAGGTCCTTCTACATGCATCGGCCTCATTTCACAAGAAAATTTAAACTCTAATTCAAAATATTAACCTTCTTTTCTACAAAATAAGGGGACTCTCAATTTTTTAAAGAGCTTCACTGAATTAGTGTATTTTTGTTGTTTTTAAAGACAGTGTAGAGATGCAGTTTCTGTGGGGTCTCTGAGCTCCCTGTCCACTGTGCTGGGTGAACAGGTGTGCTGGCGCCTCAGGCAGGACCAAATCCTTCTCTGGCACCACCTACCTGGCCTTGCAGGAAAGTCCGCAGGTGTGGTTAGGGTTACCTTGAGTGATGTGTGCAGGGGTCTCCTGTGTTCAAATCATGGCAGAACTGGAACCAAAACCCTTCTGCTTCTCAAACCCTTTTTGTGTTTCAGAAACAAATCTGTCCTCTTGAGACTTCCCGGAGGGCAGGTGTGGTATGTGTGTTTGTGTGTGTACCTACGATCTGGATGTAAAGGCGTATTTATGGTCTCATGCTGCTGAACATGTGTCACTTTATAGTCCTCCCTGTCTCCTTGCCCTGCTGCCGTGGGGGCTGCCGCCCCGCTGTGGCCAARGTGAAGCGCCCTCCCCACCCTGTGGTGCGGGAGCCCTTGCTGGCCAGACCTCCAGAGGAGGGGATCACGCACGAGGCCTGTGAAGACCGCAGCGTTTCTCCTGGTGCACACTTGGTCCGCCTCATCTCCAGTCCAGATGCGGCTCCTTCTGTCTCCACCTGGGCTTGCCCTCTCTCTGTGATCTCTCCCTCATGAAGGCACTTTAAAACGTCATGTTTCATTGACTGTTACTTTTCTTTTAACTGCTAATRTAAATGAAATTTAAAAATCAGAGCTCTTTATTGTATGGATGAAGTTTGAATAAACGTCAGAAACCCCTGCTCTCGGCCTGCTCTCTGAACACAGGCCGGCCCTGTGGAGCCCCACGATGGTATAGGGGGGCCTGCACAGCCAGGCAACAGAGGCTGGCGGCCGGCAGGACCCAGGGAGCGCAGGCCTTGTAGCTTGGGTGCTTTACCCCGTCCAGCTGTGGTGATGATAAGTAGTAACGGGTGTACACGTCAAAACGTGAAGGTGACCCGAGAGTRCCTTTACAGAATAACACCCCACAACTTCAAACCAAAGTGGCGGAGAGTGCAGGAAGGTCGTGGGCCCAAGAGAGGAAGGGAACACAGTAAACAGAAAACATGAAATAGGATCCAGAGAGGCCCAACCCACAGAAGGTGGGAGGAAGGTGGTGACCTACACAGGAGGCTGACTTACAGGAAGAGCACTGAACTGGATAGGCAGGTAACTGATGAAGGATCCCTGGAATAAAAATATGCCAAGATCGAAAATAAAAGAAAGCAAGAAGACCAGGAAAGTACGGAGCAGAGGAAGCAGCATAACAATGCTGAGGACACAGCCATGGAAATAGGGCACTTAGAGTACAAGGAACAGTGTGCAAACACCTAAGCAAACAATAATAAGCCCAAAACACAGAAAGCAAGCCTTGGCAGGCAGGGCAAGATGCCACTTCCTCCTGTAAAAACTGTTAACTGTCCTTAAAAATAGAAAAGGCAGTGCCATGTTCCAGCACACATGGTGCATTCTCCAAGTGTCTACAAACCAATGAAAAGACTGTAGTAGGGTGATCATTTACAGCAATTTGATTTCTTTGTTATTCATTCATTAACTCAAGTATTTTATTTCTTCTGGGCCAATTTTAACAATTCAGCTTTTAAACATTTGTTTTGAAGACATTTGGGGGTCTGAAAGCTATTAGAATAGACAAATAACTGCTAAAGGAGACCCTGAAACATTTGCTATTGAACATTTGTTTAGAAGAATTTGGGAATGTAAAAATATGTTTCCAAGACCTGGATTAGAAAGGCCACATCATGGGGATCTGGTCCCTAGAGCTGGACAGGTGTCCACGTGTTGGCCAGGGTCTGAGGGCTGCAGCTGAGGCACAGCTGAGATTGGTTTTACAGCCAACTGCATCTAAGCTTTACATGACACAATTAACGAGTTACCCATTTGAGGAAGCTGAAAAGTAGGTCCAGCAAACTCATCAGAAGTGTGAAAAGGAAAGGAGAAAAACAACAAAACCCAGACAGACCAAATTGTCCCCAAGAAACCTCACAAGAGGGACCCATTGGTCCACAAGGAATAACAGCTTTTAATTGAGAGAACCATAAGAACAAATTCCTACTAATACGTCTGGGAAACAGAAAAAATAGGAGACTTCTTTTTAAAAAGCTAAATTGTTAAAAATTAGTCCAGAAGAAATAAAATGCTTGGGTTGATGAATGAATAACAAAGAAATTAAGTTGGAGTTGAAAAAAACTCCAGATCGTACCAGACCAGGTGGTTTTCTAGGCATGTAAAGGTATTTATACAAACTGGTTCGAACAAAAAATATAAATATTCCTGAAGCAAGTTTTTCCTTGGTACACAAAGACAGATATTATGTACGAAAAACGTGAAATTATGAAGATGAATACAAAAATTCCAGAATCCCAGCAGTATGTTACAAATAAAAGTCCCAGGAGCTGGGGTGTGGCTTGGTAGTAGGTGTGCCTGCCCTGCTCCCCACTGGAGGCCCGGGCTCCAACCCCAGCGCCACCCTGCACAGGCACAGATGACACTTACCCAAGCAGGGGTGTCCACAAGGCACAGATATGCGATGGCAGAAACATGGTGCTCTCAAAAAGTTGGCTTGAACACACTGAAGGAGAACCTGGCCAGGTGCAGCGGTGCAGGGCACGGTTTTTACTGAGCAGTCATCTGCAATGTTAGGCTACACAAGGGATAGAAGGGAATTTCCCTATCCCAATAAAGTGTATCTAACAGAATCTTCACCTCCAAACTTTATGTCCCAAAATCCTTCAGAATCATCCCCACTGAGGGCAAAACACAGGGAAGCCCTCCACCACTCCGCTCCTAGTCCTTCAGGGGAACACGGGATTGCAACAGGAAAAGGAAGTGAGGCGTCGGGGTGGAGAGGAACTAGAAAGCCCGGGAGAACCGAGAAGCTGTTAGAACTGCCGAGTCTCCAAGATTGACCCCCAGAGACATCCCTAGCAGTAACAAACCAAAAACAGTCGCTATGTCAACAGCAACCAAGTGATGAAACTTGTGGATAAAACACTACATGCCATAGGCCAAGAGAGAACCCCTAGGGAAGTGGAGAGGTGCTTATGGAGGGGGCATCCGGCCTCACCAAAATGTCAATTCTCCTCCAAATTAGCCTGCAAACGTAAGGTACTTCTATCAGAACTCCAGCAGCGCAGTCTTTGTAGAATGAGAAAACTAGCCATAAGGCACGGGKCAGAAGACAGATCCCAGTGGAGCCCGGAGGACTCTGAGCATGGGCCAGGAGCCTGCCCTCTAGGTGGAGTAGGGAGCCAGCTCAGCCACCGCAGGCGCGGAGAGCGCAATCCTGAGCAGGCTACAACAGGCAGCCTCCCAGCACCGGCTCCTGAGGACCCAAGAGTGGAGGTTTCCACCTGGACCCTCAGGGTCTCCTCTGCTTGGTCTCCCTTTCACATTGGACCCCCGGCACGGGACCCTGTGACTGGTCTCAGCACACAGGGGACGGCCCAGGGCTGCTATTCCACTCCTCCCGTGGACCCCCCACTCCTTTGTGCCTAGGTGCCTTTTTGTCCATCTTTTAAAGTGTAGCTTTTGGGTCTTTTTGAATAAATCGCTCCTATCTCAAGGCAATCAGAGCCTGATAATCTGCCCGTTTTTCAAGTTCATGAAGGATCTGATCCTATGCCCAGCCCCACAAATCTGCCAGGGAAAGGAGGGGTTGAGTTTGAGCTGGACAGTTTGTGCGTTTTATCCCAAAATGAGCAGCTGCTCTGAGGGCTGAGATGACCACAGGTGCAGGAGGACATGGTCAAGTCAGGGCCAACCCAAGGGAAGTCCAGCTCTGAAGGAGCATCAGCAGGAACCCATCTCTGAAAGGACATTTGCCCTCAGAGGGTTCAGCCCAGGCCCACTGGACACCAGGAGGCATGGGTGACCTTAGATCTTGGAGCTGCTGGAACAGCCCAGCTTTAGCACAGGAAGTCCCTCATCCTCAGAAACCTGGCTGGTGGCTGGGCTGGGGAAGTGTGGGGGGGTGGCCGTCCCAGCCAGGGTGCCACCTGCAGCAGAGACAGGCTTGGTGCCGGGCACAGCAACTTCTCGCCCTCCTGAGAGGCCTGGGCCTCCCCTGCCCCTCTCCAAGTCATCCGTCCTCACCCAAAGCCTGCTCCTTTCAGCACTGCGACATGGCCTAGTTTTCTCTGCGGTGGAAATGTCCCCACTTACTGTCCCGGGTCTGAGAGCCTTGGAATTCTGCAGTGCACCTGGGGTGCCCCTGCCAGACGCAGGCCTTAACTCACACTTCTGCCAGGAACCAGGGCTTTCCCCAGCACCCTGTCCTCTCCCCCTGCTGGGCACCAGGGCTTCCGCTCCTGGCCTGGGGTTCAGACGCCCTTGCCCTCCCCTCCTCCGCCCAGCTCCTGCCCTTTGCCCCCTGTCCCCTCTGGACGTCCACAGCAGGGAGCCGCTGAGCTCACCATGGCTTCCCCCGGGCTCACCCTCCTCTGCTTTCTGCTCGGACTTCAGGGATCCCTGGCTGCAGGTATGTCCTCTTGGAAGGGCTTTCCCAGGAGAGAGGTGCAGGCCTTTACAGCAGGTCCTGAGGGCTGGGCCCTGGCCACCCAAGCCTTGCCTCTGCTCTGGACAGGCGTCTGCCGGCCACTGGTAACACTGCCAAGAAGCTAGTGTCCAAGTGCCCATGGTGCACGGAGGAGCAGCTACTCAGTCTGCCTCCCTCCCTCCCTCCCTCTTCTTCTCTCCCTCCCTCTCCTTCTGCCTCCCTCCCTCTCCTTCTCTCCCTCCCTCTCCTTCTCTCCCTCCCTCTCCTTCTCTCTCTCCTTCTCTCCCTCCCTCCCTCTCCCTCTCTCCCTCTCCCTCTGCCTCCCTCTCTTCCTCCTTCTCTCCCTCCCTCTCTGTGAGATCAGGGGTCAAACCCAGGGGCCCTCTACAACTGTCCAACATCACCAGCCCTTTTTAAAATGTTTTATTTTGATACTGGCCTCACTAAATCATCCAGGCTGACCTTGAACTTGTGATCCTCCTGCCTGGCCTCTCAAGTCGCTGGGATGGCAGGTGTGCGCCACATTTAGCTGAGGAATGACCGTTATGACCCTTGCYGACAGGGCAGACTTGGCTGGTCATTTTTCAAGAAACTTTTAGGAGCAGGGTGCTCTCCTGGGTGCCCGGGGGTCCTGCCTGTGAAGCTGGACAAGCGGAGAGGGATTGCTCAGAGCAGAGCTCCTGGGTCCCGGGTAGGATGCCTCCGACAGTCCGTGGGACGCTGGAGCAGGGTGGCCTGCCACCACAGTTCACACGGGCGGGCGCTGAGCCTCAGGAGAAAGCCTGGGGATGCGTGGCAAGCTGGGGCACCTTGTGTCTGCTGCTCCTCGCTTCTTCCCCAGCTGCCCTGTTCCCTGGCCTCGCTCTTCCCCCACTCTGCCCGAACCTACTGGTGTCCCAGGAAGCCTCAAACTCAGCCAGGCCTCACTGCTGGGACCACCCGCACCCCGGTGAGGGTGACTCTGCCTCGACACCCCTCCTTCCTCCCTTTACAGCCTGTCCTGAGGCCTGGGCCCAGGCCACCCCAGCCTCCCACCCACCTCCTAGAAGCTGCTGGGGCCTCTGGGAGAATCAGGAAGGGGCGTGGGAGGCCCAGGGAGGGCAAAGGTCTGCAGCTGAGGTGCAGCACAGAGGCCAGGAAGGCCCAGTGTGAGGCAGGCACCCAGCCTCGGGAGCTGGCACAGGGGGTCAGGATGCCCAGGGCTGTGTGGCTTGGGAGGTGCCTAGGGCCTACACCCAGCCTGTCTCTGCTGCAAATGGCACCCTGTGCTGGAAGGGCCCACACCTTCCCCACACTTCCCCAGCCCAGCCACAGGAACGTGGACCGTCTGTCACCTGTGAGAAGCCCAGCAGGACTCCTGCGTGCCCGTCACACTTGGGCAGTGGGCAGGACGGGCTATGTTACCATCTTTCCCCTCAGGGTCACGTCTTCCTAAGCACAGTGTGACCGCAGCACTGGGTGCCCTGGTGTGGCCTTCAGACTTGGTACGCACAGTCTCCGCAGCTCAGGCTTCCTACCAGACTGAGCGTTTCCTGAAGATAAAGTCCTAACTGGGGCATTCAGGTTCAACAGGGAGGGTGTGTGAGAGTGGCTTCCATGAACCCGGTGCCGTGTGGCGGTTCCCAGCCCTCAGGAGAAGCCCACCCACCTCGGATCCCCTGGCCTGGGTGCGTGGCTCTCTGTAGGGAAGCCTCAGGACAGCAGGACCGCGGCTCCCTTCAGTGTGGCGGTCCTGTTGCTGACGAGCTGCAGGGTTGGGGGCGGCCATGCTCACGGCTCCCTCTCAGTCTTCGTGACCCAGGAGGAAGCGCATAGTGTCCTCCGCAGGCAGCGGCGTGCCAACTCCTTCCTGGAGGAGCTGCGGCCAGGCTCCCTGGAGAGGGAGTGCAAGGAGGAGCAGTGCTCCTTCGAGGAGGCCCGCGAGATCTTCAGGAGCCCGGAGAGGACGGTGAGTGTGGGCCAGCCCAGGAGGCCTCAGAGGCCGCAGAGGGAGGGAGCTGGGCTCTGGGGCCACAGCCACATCTCAGTCTCGYGTATGGGGGCTCCAGCCAGGTGACCGCACAGGGCACCTGGCCATGGGGGCCTCTGCCCTCCAAGACAGCTTCAGCTCCTCTGCAAGGCTCCCCACCCTCCCGGGCCCAGGAGCCCTCCAGCACACCCTGTCCCTGCTCTCCGCCCACCACGCAGACACACCTGAAAGGCACATTCCCTGAGTCCCTGGGCTGCCCAAGGAAGTGGGCCGGGACCCAGGGCTGCCCATGCATCTCAGCACCACTGACAGACGCAGTGAGAAGCTGGCCTGGTGCCCCCTGCCCCAGGACCTCCCCGGGAACAGGTGTGAAGAACCTGGAGGTGTCCTGACCGCTGAGGGCTGTCTTCACTCCTGGTGTCAGGCCTGGAGATGCGTGGACAGGCAGGCTGGCCACCTGCCCTCCATTCAAACCCTCCCCTTGGAATATTTTCTCCAAGAGTGGAAGTGGAGACATGAGGGGCAGACTAGGACTCGGGTGATTCCAGCTTATCGCTATAGCGAGTCTCAGGAAAATGGGAGCCAGAGGCATCCTGGGTCCCCAAGGAACCCCAGGGCCCCCGAGACCCCAGGCCCTCAGCTTACTCTACAGGAGGCTTTCCAACCAGCTGACTCGGGCCAACACACTCCCCGGGCACTGCACACCCACCGAAGCCTCACCCTCGCAGGAGGCCCGCTCACACCACGCCCCCCGACACCCACGGCCCTCCCCACGCCCCCGGCCCTCCACACCTCACACTCCCCTGGAAATCTCCTGTCCTAGCTGAGGCCAGCTGCCCCTCTAGGCGAAGAGGTCTATGCCTCCTGTGGAGTGCCTCAGGCCTCCACTGGCCCCTCACAGCACCCTCTGACCTTAGCTTCAGCTGGACAAAAGCTCTCCAGGAGCTGCTTTTCACTCACCAGGCGCTCGGCCTTGCCTGGAAGTCCTCCGCCCACTCTGCCCCTCTGCCCATGTCACTCCCAGGGTGCACAGTCACCTGTCTGCAGACGGAGGCCCCCAAACATGTGTCTGGCTCCAGGTCACAGATGGGGAGGCCAAGTTGGGACTGGACTCAAGTGTTCTGGCTGGGCAGAGAGGAACACGTGGCCTCCGCCAGAGCTCCATGTCAGGGAATAGAGAAAGTCCCCTCCAGAGGAGGCCACCTCCTCCACAGAGGGTGACCTCTTCCCAAGTGCCCCACAGAGGTCCAGGTCCGCCCCGGCCCGCGCTCCCCCCGAGGGTGCCATGGTGGCGCTCTGGGTGTCTCCCCTGGGTGTCTCCCCTGGGTGTCTCCCCTGGGTGTCTCCCTCTGGGTGTCTCCCCTGGGTGTCTCCTCTGGGTGTCTCCCCTGGGTGTCTCCCCTGGGTGTCTCCCCTGGGTGTCT